GTGGAACTGTAAAGCCCTCGTCACGACCTGTTGGGCTATCTTGATGTTCGACACGAAAAGGATTATGTCCAACAACATTCGGGTCTCAAGCCAACTCCACACCCTAAACGCAGTTAGTTTTCAACTAAGCAAGACATTCCATCTAAGGAACTGGAGGTATGGGCTCAAGACCGACAGACGGCCATGGATCATTTTGCACAGTTTAGTGTTGAGGGTTCTGAGAGGAACACAATAAAGAGCATCCTGAGTCGTCCGGCCCCATGGCCCACAACCTGGTGATCTGTGTGTTTTGGTCAGATCGAATAAACGGGCCCTCATATGATGAGCACGTGTACGTAAACTTTGCGATTGTGGTGATGCGAAGTGCGCTGGTACCAGTTCCTCGACTAACTGCCTGCTCCTAGCAGCAATGCCTGGAGCAGTACCACTGCTAGTCGAAAAGGGGCTTCAAGAAAATGAGCCTAGAAGTGCCCTTGAACCTCAACAACGTTTTACTTTACTGTACCGGTTTTCTACTAAAGCATACTCGCCCATACTATATACAACACCAGACCATACTAGAATCGACTATACCAGACCATGTTCTACAAAGCGCCGCTGTTTTCTACCGAGGACATGGAGTCTGCAAGCGTGGTGCCCAACGGCAAAACCTACGGCAAGCTCATGGAGGCGGCAGCGAAGGCGGATTGGGTTTAGGATCATAGGGTTTAGGGTTTAGGGTTATGGGGCTTCGGGGTTTTATAAGAATCCAAGGCAGCGTTTGGTCAAGAGAGCTGGGGGCTTCGGATGTTGGGGAGCTTAGGGTTTATGGAGTGATTCTCCTTTAGGGGGTGCATGGTTCGGGATAACTTGGGGGTCTATTTTGTTTAGCTTCCCAGGAGGAACCGAGAACTGCCCGAAGGTTTTTGTCGCTCCGGTGTTGTTGCAGGCCTGTGGGCTTGGGGATTTAGTGAGGTTACGGTCTTGCAGCATGTTATTGTCGAGGGTTGATGAATCGGCCACCGCATCTGCAGCCTAGACAGTATAAGCTTCATCCAAACCTAAGGCGCCAGGCTGCGTGAGCAGAAGGAAACGGAAGTGATAACAGTATATCGTTAAGGCATGGAATGAGCACCTGAAATTTTCGTGTGAGTGCAGAATGTAGGAGTAGTCATGAGAATACTGAAAATGAAGCAATGACATCAATAGTTGTGCAGCTGTCAGAACAGAAAAACTCCAAAGTGGAAAGCCCTAGTGTTCGATCAAACGATGTTGCAGGGCTTTGGGGCATGGGGCGTTTGCCGTAGCCCCAAACAAGCCCAAAGTATTTAGGGTTTCAGTTTTGGGTTATAAGCTCAAGTGTGTCGATGAGTCTTCTGCGGAAAGGGAATTTATCTGTCACACCGTACACTACCCGATATCTCCGGATAAAGGTTTCTGCACATATTGGCTTATGAAAATTACATTGCGTAAAAGTTGAAAGATCCGCCGTTCCTCCGCACGAACCGATCAAGCGCTGACATTTGACATATCGCAGGGAAGGAAGGTCAGGCACATGGCAACTTGGAGGGTTATCTCAGAAGCCAAGATCTGTTTCTGGACTTGTGCCAGTGTTGACCCCACACAGTGACAGAGCATCCAGCCGCAGCACCCACACTGTGGCAGGAACACGAGTCGCACTGATGCGTTCACTGACACGTACTGGTCAGGAGCGCATGGCATCCAGCATGGAAAAGGGAACAGAAATTTTCTCAGTCCTAGCAATAATATGTATGTATATATATATATATATATATCTACGTATATAGAACATGACCGTTCTTCTACCGTTTTAGTTAAGGTTTTTCTCCGGTACTATCTGTAAGCCATTGTTAGTTTTTTGCGCGAATGTCATCTGCTCGTCTCCGCAGCGGGTACATACCCAACGGCAATGCACGTATGTTCTACTCATAGTTTGCAACTTAAAAAACCGTTTTGCGCCATGTCATCCCTTCACCAAAAAACACAGGTCCCTATAGTATGAAATGCTTTGTCGGGCCCTTTGCGTCGATTCGGATTGAAAGTTGCGGGAGTAGCATGGCATCCGCAGCCCTGCGATGTCAAGAGTGTATACCAGAAAGTGGGAGTTGAACTCCTTTCCAACACGGCCCCCTTCGCCAAAGCTCGGAGCCGAAGTACTGTTCAGCTGCGACGGCAGGAGGATTTGCAGGGCAGGACTGCATGTACAAACGGATCGCGAGGAAAAACACCTAACAAGGTAACATTACGAAACTCACCCTTAACGAATTTAAAGAAACATGTATGAAATATGTAATCTATTTATTGCCAATGCCAATGTGTCATACGTTGGAACTGACACTGTGAGAACACTATGGGCTTCTTAGGTTATGTTGTGGAGTGATTAGATTAGATCGCTTTGTGTAGGCACTGGCAGCGGTTCCACGGCCTGGGACTATTGCCGTCAATCGTGCTGGCAGTGGCGTGTTCGGTTTGGCAGGAAGAACCCCTAGCAGGAGCATAGAAGGGGGTCTTAGCGGTTCCTCGGTGTGTCGTCGAAATGTTTCGGAATGTGAAACATTGCGAAACCCTGCCTCGCTACAGGGCCGTGCCTTTTTGGGTTGCGACTCGTCTTCCCACCGTCCCGGCACTTTCGATGCTTCTGCCTCCCTCAAACGAGACAGAATGCATAAAGAGTTTCAGGGTTAGGGCTCGACCCTGCCCGGTCCCGTTTAGTTTCTACAGTAGGACTTTCAGCCCCCCCTACACTCCAACCGCCCGCGGCTTGTGTCGTTCTGAGAAACTCCTGCTAATTTTAGAGGCGGGCGACCCAGACTCCGCGGAGAGGTGGTTCGAGTGCCTCGCAGAAACAACTTGGGTTACTGGGTCACTGAAGCCTTGGAACTGGAGGGTGTAAGGTAGGTGGTTATAACTGCGGCCGCCGGAGATTACAGTAAGGTTTGAGAACAGTTAAGGTGCAGCGGTGTGGCCGCTAAGACCAATCTTGCTTGTGTCGCATAGACCCCAGAACATACTGTGACTATCTGATGGCACTGCGAACCCGAGAGCTCTTGGGGGACTCATCCGGTGGCATGTTGCCCCAGGTAAGGTAGCGACTTGAGAGTTTGCAAACTGTTGCCAATTTCCACTTATGGTTCCATTGGTTCCCCTCAGCAAGTACTCCTGCTATTCTTATCTTCCATTGGTAGCTTGTGTTCGTTTCACAACCTTGGTGTGTGTGTGTCTTGTTGCTGCAATTACTGCATTTTTTCGGCCTCGGTGTTTTCCAACTGTTACGACTTGCTTGGTCTGCCGTTCGTCTACTTCGCTGGTATTTGAGGCGTGAAATTGAGACTGGAGTTCCCTCTCGGGATCATTGATATGGGGCCTTAATAATTAGAATAGGGTTTGGACCCATTATACTAGATTTATTTAAGCCCCTATATTAGGGTGTAGGGTTTAAGGATTAGAATAGGGGTTTGGGCCCATTCTATTAAAGCCTGAAACTCCCACACCTGCTGGCCCAGGCACTCGACCCAGACGCTCGGATGTGGGGCCAACCGCACCTGGCAGCTGGGCAATCACTTTAAGTTGGTTGTGGTTGTGAGGTGGAGGTTGTGTCGGTCGGGGTTGTGGTTGTTGGTGTTGTTGTTGCTGCCGTGATTGCTGTTGTTGTGGCTGCTCTTGTTTTGTTATTGTTGATGTTGTTCGTGGCTTTGTTGTTGTTGTTGTTGTTGTTGTTGTTGTTGTTGTTGTTGTTGTTGGTGGTGGTGGTGGTGGTGGTGGTGGTGGTGGTGGTGGTGGTGGTGGTGGTGGTGGTGGTGGTGGTGGTGGTGGTGGTGGTGGTGGTGGTGGTGTTTGTTCTTGTTGCTGTGTCGCTGTTGCCGGTGGTGGTGGCAGTGGCGTCGGCGGTGTTGCTGTTGCTGTTGCTGTTGCCGTTGCCGTTTGTGCGGTTGTTGGTGTTGGCGTTGGCGTTGTTGTTGGCGGTGTTGGTGTTGGTGTTGTTACTGTGGCTGTTGCTATTGCTCCTGCTGATGATGCTATCATTGTTATTGTTTCTACAACTACTACTGACTTACTACTACGACTGCTGCGACGACGACGACCACTACTACCTCCTGCCACTGTTTCTTCTTGTAATCAAATTCTGCTGCTGCTACTACTACTACTACTACTACTACTACTACTACTACTACACGTACTACTACTACTACTGCTACTACTACTACACTACTACTACTACTACTACTACTACTACTACTACTACTACTACTACTACTACTACTACTACTACTACTACTACCACTACTACTACGCCGTCTACTACTACACGGGAGTCTACATCGGGCATTATGTGAGATTTGGAAGATGTGTTCGCAGATTACCAGCAGGTATGGGCTGCTGATGGACGCCTGTGCCAAGGTGCTGGCGAGAGTCGAACATTATAACATGATCTGGTAGGCGGTTTAGGGGGGATGCTGGGTGCGTGGCCTTGAACCCTGAGCTAGAAACCTTCAAAGTTGAAAGCTGCACCATCTAGAGTTGAGCGTAGGCCACAAGTGAGACGTGCACAGGCTGCAATCAGGAACACCGTGGACGCTTCGGAAGCTCCGTAAAGCCCAAGATGCCCAACTGAGCGATGCCTTTCCAGCTTCAAGGTCTCTGACAGCCCTGGCTCGAAGGAAATGTAGGTAAACATAGTTTCACCCTGCGAGAACCCTTAAGACCCACAGCCCTGAACCTAATATTTCAGAAGCATTGGCCCGAGTCCTCGACACCTTGTAAACTCAGCATGCGGAGGCCGGCGACCCCCAGCGGGCTGCCCATTGGCTTGCGGAAGCCCGCCGCGCGGAGCTAGCGCCGAATCTCATGCAACTGTCCCGACAATAATCGGTCCTTAATAGGGGAACCTGCTGAAGCCTCGAATCCATTACATGAGGCCTGAAATTGGGTTTGTCGGCGAATTGGCCAATCGGGCTTCGTTACATCGCGCGGCTAGGCTGCCTGATCGGCTGAGTGCTCCACCGATCCCGTGCACTAAAGTCCAGATGCGTCTGCTACCAAGCAACTTCAGGCTAGCAGCAGTCGCAGTAGAGTAGTAGCAGTAGTACCAGTAGTACCAGTAGTACCAGTAGTAGCAGTAGTAGCAGTAGTAGCAGTAGTAGCAGTAGTAGCAGTAGTAGCAGTAGCAGTCGCAGTAGTAGTAGTAGTAGTAGTAGTAGTAGTAGTAGTAGTAGTAGTAGTAGTAGTAGTAGTAGCAGTAGCAGTAGCAGTAGCAGTAGCAGTAGCAGTAGCAGTAGCAGTAGCAGTAGCAGTAGTAGTAGTAGTAGTAGTAGTAGTAGGACGAGATGATGGGCAAGCGTGCGCGGGACGCCCTTTTAGCGGCCCTGCTCCTCATCGGAGTGGCTGTGGCCATGGCCCGGTTTTTCGTCGCCGTTGGGAACCTCGTAGCTGAGAGGACTGTGTCGAAGAAACCTGTCGCTTCAAGCCGTAATGCCTCTGCGCTGACCCTCAACCAGGCCCCTGCCGAGACCAGGCCAATGCTGGAAGAGCCCGAGAAGGAGAGTGCAGGCAACCCGGTCTACGAGTATGAGCTCTCTCTGGGGCTTGGAAAATCCGCCGTGCTACTGGTTTTTTACCTGCTGCACAACGGATTCCTCTTGGTCCTGATGTCCTGCAGGACATCAGGACCAAGAGGAATCCGTTGTGCCGTGGTGCATGCTCAACAACCTGATGCTGGGAAGCGCGGGCATCGTCTGGGAGGCTATGGGTCTCTGGCTGGTCGCCGTGCTTGCCGTCGACGTTCTGCTTGGCCGTGCCATCCAGGCTGCATGGATTGGCCGGAAGGTGCCAAGCCCCGCGATGACAATCATCATGTCTATCGTTCCCATCCTGGGACCCAGAGTCGATCTCCTGAAGGACTGCGTCTTTACGGCTTCCGTATTGCAGTTGGCCGCCTGTGCGGAAGACGAGGGAACCCGACAAAGGGGCTTTTGGATCGGAGTCTGCAGCCTGGTGACGTTGTTCACTCCGGGGCCGTTCCTGTTCTGCGACGGTGCGAGCAGGATGGAGGTTGCCAAGGAGTTCCTTCCCGCACTGGGCGTCCGCCTGAATGCGGTTGACCGCTCCCATCCTTTCATCGGAAAAATGCCGCGGCTCGACGTGATGCGCAACGGCGGATCGCCGGAGGCGGTGACGGTGGATGTGTTGCTTGCTGTTCTCGAGGCTTTTCTTGAGTTCTTCAAGGTCTTGTCGCAACAGAGCACTCCAGCACGGCTCTGGATTGCAATTGGCGAGGATGTGCCACAGGCGGTCTTGGCCGTCATGGCGATGCTCAACTTTCACAAGTTTAGTGGGCTTCTGCTCCTGAACTTCGTCTTCTGCTGCGTGAAAATCGCAGTCATCTTTGCCGTCCGGTGGCTCCTCCGGTGGTTCCCTGTGTACGCATTCGACCCGTCTGTCATTGCGATCATGGCGGCTTCACACGGCCTCGAGGTCCGAAATGAAGACGGTCGCACACCTTTGATGTGCGCTGCCGGCCTCGGGGACACAGAGATTCTGGCAACGCTTCTGAACAGCGGCGCAGAGAAGGACGCGCAGGACAAGAATGGCGCGACGGCTCTCCACAGTGCGGCGCACAGCGGCAGCGCGGAGTGCTTGCGACTTCTCCTGGATGCCGGCTTGAGCAAGGACGCGCATGACAAGAATGGCGCGACGGCTCTCCACAATGCGGCGCGCAGCGGCAGCGCAGAGTGCTTGCGACTTCTCCTGGATGCCGGCTTGAGCAAGGACGTGCAGGACGACGAGGGTGACACGCCGCTCCACTTGGCCGCACAGTGCGGCAATGCCGGGTGCGTGGACTTGCTGCTCAAGGCCGATGTGAAGAAGGAGTTGCAGAACACAATCGGTGACACGCCGCTCCACCGCGCCGCAGACAACGGCCATGCCGGGTGCGTGGAGTTGTTGCTCAAGGCCGGTGTGGAGAAGGGGCTGAGAGACAATGAGGGCAACACAGCGCTGGATGTGGCAAAAGATGATCCATGCAGGTCACTCCTCGAGAAGGCCAGCGGCTCCACGCGGACCTGACGAACGCCGCTGAGCCGTTTCAAGGAGGTGCAAAGAAGCGAAGTGCCCTGTCGAGGAATGCTTGGGGTCGAGGGCTTTGGGGGTTCAAGGTCAGGTGTTGGGACTACTATGATATATAGGTGCATTTTCTCGAGCTTGTTGCTGAATTCTAGTTTTGAATGTTGTTTAGCCAGTGCTTATAGAGTCGCGCACAAATTGCGCGCAATTTGTGCGCGACTCTAAGCACTGGCTAAACAACATTCAAAACTAGAATTCAGCAACAAGCTCGAGAAAATGCACCTTCCAACCGACGTCTTCCACCCAAACTGCGCCGCCCTAGTCGCATTTACGACATCTGCACTGCAAAGGCCTGTCATACTTAGTAATAAAGTTTATTTGGCGCCTACAGCTTAATTGTTCTCATAAACTTAATTAAGTTTACGAGGGATGCGGCTGCTGTTAATGTTTTGCCCGGGCTAATGTGCACGGGCCCGCCAAAGTGCGCTATCAGGGACTGGAATCCTCGCCAAGGTTTGTCCGAGCGTGGGTGCTGAAATGCTGAACCTTACACAGTGAGCCTTTAGTTGTTGTTGCAGGTCAGAGTTGAATGAATCAAGATCGAGTGAACAAGTCATGGTAATTGCGACTAGTCGTGTTCAACAATTATAGTTACAACAGTGCCGCTAGCAACACCAAGGGGTTTAGTAGTAGTAGTAGTAGTAGTAGTAGTAGTAGTAGTAGTAGTAGTAGTAGTAGTAGTAGTAGTAGTAGTAGTAGTAGTAGTAGTAGTAGTAGTAGTAGTAGTAGTAGTAGTAGTAGTAGTATATAGCAGTTGTTGTTGTTGTGGTAGCAGTGACAGTAGGGGCAGTAGTGGTACTGGGGCTGGCACTGATATTGGTATCGGTGCTGGTACTGGTTACTGGTAATAGTTAGCAGTAGGTAGCAGTAGTTTGCAGTTAAGCAGTAATCGTAGTAGTAGTAGTGAGTAGTAGTAGCAGCAGCAGCAGTCGTCGTCGTGGTGGTGGTGGTGGTACTAGTAGTGGTATTGGTATTGGTATTGGTTGTCGTCATAGCAGGCGTAGTCGTAGTTGTAGTGGTATGAGTCGTGGTGCTAGCAGTCGTGGTGTTAGTGGTAATGGTGGTGCTAGTTGTTGCCGTACTGTTAGTGGTTGGTTGGTAGGTGGAGGAGGAGGCTTGTTGATGGTAAGAGGTGGCAGCGAAGTCGAGCATATGTAGCAGAGCAAGGAAAAGTTCGACGGGGCCGGTCATGCAGGTTGCCCTAAGCAGATCCAAGCAGTAGGGACCAATGCTCATGTTTATGGATGGTTGTTGTAGGTGGAGCGCGCACTAAGCGGCAGCCTCTAAACTTCTGTGCATCACGATTTGCTGTTTGTTGTGTCGATTTGTCCACATGTTGCAAAGTCTTCACGGCCTGTCTAGTGATGCAGAAGTATTAAATCTGACGAACCCAAGTAACCCAAGCCACAGTCAAACGAGCCCTTCTTCCCATTACGGGCAGTAGTGTTCGAAAGACAGTTACCTAAGACAGCCAAAAGACCTTAGTTCGAAGCGTTCCGAAATAAACCTAAATGAACCTGATAGGGTTGCATATTTTACGTGCTGCAAACTCGAAATTCACCTGAGCGAGACCTGAAATAAGATAGAGCGACGAAAAACGTAGTTTGAAGTACCCAAAACAGACAATGATGACTAGTCATAGTGTTAGTACTCACAGATAACACGTTGTATTTGCCTGTGTCATCATTTTTTGCTTTTTCCGTCACGAGTAGCTACTTTTTCGGCTTGGAGAACGGCGAGTTTGCGTGATTTTTTTGTTTGCACTTTTTGCTCTTGACCGAAGGAGTAACTTTTCCGGCTTGGACCCCGGTGGCCGGGAGGGGTGGCTTTCCTCGTGGTTGCTTTGTGTTGCTTCGTGTTGAGGCATGCGGAGTTTCTGTTTTGGGTTTAGCCATTTAGAAGAATCCACGATAGCTGCCGATTGTTTTGTACAGTGGTGTCATCAGGACACAAGCCCTTGAACCTAAACCCTTCAAGCTTGCACAGGCTTTCCCAAACCCTTGCACCCGCAGCCCTGAGGTGCTACAAAACCCCCAAATCCCTGAACTCGAAACCCCTAAACCCCACAACCCTAAACCCCTGAACCCTAAAACCCCTAAAACCCTACAACCCTAAGCCCCTGAACCCTAAAACCCCTAAACCCTACAACCCTAAGCCCCTGAACCCTAGCCCCCCCCTGTGTCCTTTGAGGTATTACACCACACTGGTGGACAGCTGCGCCAAGGCTGCGGACCTTATGGGCCTCCAGCGGTGGCTGAAGGCAGAACATCGAAGTTTCTTAGAAACGGAGCTGGGGTTTTGGGGTACATTCTACTGTTATACTATTACTACATCATTTTAGGGGTACAGTATACTGTTACACTATTACTACATCAAGGAACCTTGTCTAATAATCAGAATCGGGCAGAGCCACTCATGAAATGTAAGGGCCCTGATAATTAGAATAGGGCTTTAAGGTTTGGGGTATACTGTTCTATAACTACAAGGAACCCCCTCTTGTAATTTGAACAGGTTGTTGTTTTTTGAAGGGTGGGGGGGTCCTTATTATAGTTATTGTATCATACAGCCCAAAACCCCCTCCTAATTACTAAGGCCCCTACATTAGAGGGGGATCTTGAGATTACAAGGTCAGGTCATGTGGTCTGAGTCCTTAATGTTGAGTTCTGGTTATGGAGACGGTGGGTAATACTGTAGTAGAGTGTTGCACTTTTCGTACCGACTCATAGCAGGACGACCAGGTCCTCCAGGTGAACCAAAATTGTCGGATGCTGCGGGTATTCTCTCAGGGTTTTAGCTCGGGGACAAAACAGGAGCAAGGCGTTCGCGACAATGCATAAGTTGCTGTCTATTCGGGAAGCTTGTTAAATTCTTTGATGTGTCCTTAAGGAATGAGCCATTGGGTTTAGAGTCTTGGGGCTAAGCATCTGCAGGTTCGGATCCGGGACAGGCATGAAAGCTACTCCAAGTCACCGAGCCCTAGCCCTTGCAACCGCGAGCACTCGCTCACAAGACGGCAGATGTTGGGGATATTTTGCCTCACTGTCCTAAACCTTCCGACATCCGGATCAAAAAAAAGCCTCTTCCCCTGTGTACGCTTCAAGTTTCAGTGTCTATGGGGCCAAAGCTCAGTAGTTTGAAGCCAATGCCCTAACATATTTCTCGCAGATTCTGGCATATTAAACTGCGGTATACGATGGCATATACACAGGAGCGGCATTGAAGCCATTTCGCGCTGCAGTCCTCAGTGTGTCTCCAGGGTGCAGCACATGCAAATTAGGTCCTGTCTGAGGCCGAGGCAGTCACGAACAAGCACCACAAACATCGAACCCAGAAGCCCGCAAAATGGCATATTATCCCTTTCAGGCGTGAATACATTCATTGACCCTCGCAGCCTTTTGTCCTTTCACTCAACGGCACCAGGAGATGTTGAAGGACAAGTTTATGCCCAATGCTGCTCGGCATTCAGTACTTAGTTTGGGGAACGGTGTGTGTGTGTGTGTTGAGGGTTGCGTATCCAGCATTTCAGAGACCCATTTTCGAAGTTCATTTCTGATACATCACGGCAGAGGCTGACCGGTTTTTGTACTAGCTGATCAGTTCCCGGTAGTAGTCTAGCACTCCACTGCTGCTGAGTCTTCATCCAGCGGAGGTTTTCCGGAGGTGCACGTCAAGGGGTACCCAGAAAGCCAAAACCGTTCTTCTTCAAGTACAGCCCCGATCCCAACTCCGAAACTTCTGCAACCTTTTTCGATGCGGTGAAACTCAAGCCCAAGACCCTACCCGGCACCCCCTACGTCCTACCATCCCCACATCAGACAGACTGGGAATCGTAGACCGACAATCCCGAAGCCTGTGCACCACCCAGCCCTTCCAGAATTACGGGCCATCCTCAGCGAAAGCGGAAAGTCCAAACCCCGAAGTCTCACAGTCGAAATAAAACCTTCACGTTTTGCCCGACACCTGGCCAGACGCACTCTCGGGGTAAAAGATAAGGGCTTTCAGAAGGCCAGAACCCTTACGGCCATCATCGATGGGCATGCAAAAGCCGGAGATGCATCCGGGCATACGTTGGAGTCTAGGGACTTGGTTTAGTTTTGGGGTTTATTGAGTTTATTGAGTACGATTCGTGCTGATGCTACTGTGTTTCGGTCCTTTGCGTTCGTGAAAAATTGCGGGCATTGGGTTTGGAATTCAAGGCGCAGGAGCCTCCACATAGAACTAGCAGCTCTCTAGCATGTACATATATATATATATATATAGAGAGAGAGAGAGAGTTCATGGCCAATGGGCAGTATTCTGGCTTTGGGCATGATCATACCCCCCATTTCTGCGTTGCCAGCATATCTGGGGTAGAGCGCTTGCATTCTATACAGCATTCTATACATACTCTCTGCTCGAAGCAGTCACGAGGTTTGAATTTGCCTCGTCCTGCCGTTGTAAGCACCAACGGTTGCTAACCGCCTCCTCGCACCACCAAGACTGCTACTACGGCTACCACTAGCATTACGACGACGACCACTACTGCTACGACTGCTGCCATTACAGGCAGTAGTACTGCTAGTACTTATACTCGTAGTCCTAGTAGCCGGGATCAGTACTACTAGCAGTACTAGCAGCACAGCCGCAGCAGCAGCAGCAGCAACAATAGCGGAAGCAGCAACAGCAGGAGCAGTAGCAGCAGCAGCAGCAGCAGCAGCAGCAGCAGCAGTTGTAGTCGTCGTCGTAGTGAGCGGTGCTGGTGGTCGCGGCAGTGGTAGTGGCAGTTGTAGTGCGGGGTGGTGTGGTGTAGCAGCACTAGTCTAGTTACTAGGCTTACTAGGCCTTATGCTTCGCAAAGGAGCCCGTTACAAACCTTTAGAGTTGCGCCGAAGCCAAGTTAGCACAGCTAAGATGCCTTCTGTGAACCTTAGCGTACAACAACAGCAACAACAACCACAACCACCACCACCAACAACAACAACAACCGCAACAACGACAGCAACCCCACCACCACCACCACCACCACCACCACCACCACCACCACCACCACCACCACCACCACCACCACCACCACCACCACCACCACCACCACCACCACCACCACCAAAACCACCACCACCACCACCACCAAAACCAACACCAACACCAAAACCAAAATCAAAACCAAAACCAAAACCAAAACCAAAGCCACCACCACCACGACAGCAGTGTCAACGGCAATAGAAACAGCAGCTACAACTACAGCAGTCGCAGTCGTCTTATCAAGAGTAACGGAGTATGGAGTTTCAGGGATGTAATCCCACAGCCAGCAAGCCTTGTTGAGGCATGACGTGTCAAGCGTCCAGGTGGCCGGCGCAGAGCAATGGCACCGGCGAGCTGGAGCAGCCACAGATGAGCCGCTGGACAGCTTCACCTTCCGCCATTTCTCACCGACCAGGGTTCGGATTTTCTGGGGGATGTCAGCCATGTTTTGACAGGCGCTGTTCAGCATGTCGTTGTTTGTCAAGGTTTGTTTCCGCATTCTGCCTAAGCTCCATATCCCAAGCCCTTCCAGACATTGCTCCTCATTCGGAGCTCGCACTTGAAATCCAACTGCATCGTACTGTCGGAGTCCGTACTGAAATTTAGGTTCTTGACCGCATGTTGTTTGTAATGGAGTGAGGAACACGACGGCTGGACAACTCCCGTGATTGCCAGGAGGGACAAGACACCAGGAATGGCTACTCCCGGAACCACTGATGGTTGGATTGTTACCGTAATTTCCTAGGCATGCCGGTAGCGAAGCACTTGGCAATTTGTGTTTCCTTGAGTCTCCGAACTCCTAGAAGAGTCGCATTTCCGTCTTTGACAACCAGCCGCTTTCAATACCCGCGTCTGAGCATTTTAGAATATGTAGTGCCGGCTTCTTGGCTGAAGTGCGTCGACATTCGTTTCTGTGCCTTCCGACGTCCAGCACTTGAACCTCGGCCATGCGGACACGAGCATAGCCATTTCGGTTGGCTGGAAACGGGTGGTTCTACGGCTGCTAGGGATTTGCTCGACAGGATTTAGTCGCTGATGGAAGGCCGGCCAAGTGGAACGCAAATGCTCGCCGTTTGATCTTGCCGCTGCAGCTTTTGCACGTCCTTTCAGTTTGGAAATAGTGTGAGTTTAGGGCCCCGCTGCCAGTTTCAGGCCCTCATTCAGCAAAGCGCAGGACATGTAGGTGACACCCTTAGAAATAGAAGCCCTTGTCTGTTGCTTCTCCTCAGTCCGGCCTGGGCGCTAGCTCAGCAATGGCAGATTTAGAGGAGGCGACCACCATCATCCTGAAGATGAATAGGAAGGTCCCTGGGCATGCACATTGCCTTCGAGCAAACTAGCACTTCTTGCTGCATGTCTACGAGAAACGGCCTGACTGCTGGGAACGATGTGACACTGCCTTGTCTTCTAGTTTTGGCAGTACATGTTATGATGCGTTTTGTTCTGTCGTTGTTCTATTTGGCTTGTTTGACGTTGTCACACTGTAATCTTGCAGTTGTTTAGCACTGTCGCAGTGTGCCAGCTGGTCGGCACAAAACCTCACAGGGGAAGGGGGTTACTACGCAGCATGAAGTCGGGATCGAGCAGCATGCAAACAGCAAAGCAGGCAAGAAAAGCTTCAGTAGCACGAAGCAAGCATACAAGCTTGCGAAAGAGTAGTGCGAGCATCACAGCACCACCTTGAAGCTTTTAACATTCCAACATGCTATACATCCTTAGCAGAGCAAAGAGAAATTCCGCGAGCCTGTCCGCCTTCAGTGTCCTTATTGCATGTTCGAGTCCCCTACAGTACCCCGAGTGGTTCACGCGGTAAGCACGTGTAAAACCCTGTTGAAATGGGATTTCAGCTACTCCGAGGTCACCTACCAAGAGTTTGTGGATGCGCTCGGGCACTATTTGGGGGATCCCTGGCGGAGCAAGCCATATGACTTAATCCACTTGGTGTCGCCTTGCGCCGTCGTGGTCAATTTCACCAGCGCGGAGGCCGGGATCGATTTCGTTGTTAGAAGACTTGAGTTAGATTGTGCAGAGTTTACAATGTTCTCATATTGCTACGGTATTTAATTGATTGCATCCTGCGCCGGGTCCCTGCGGCGAGCAGGGTTGATGGATTCAATACTCTTGGTAACCGAGGTTGTGCTGACAAACCCGGCACTCAGCTACTTCTGTACAGATCATTGGTTTCGCCGCTCTGAGGAGCCCTAAACCGAGGTCGAAACTTCGGTCGAACAATCTCACTGCGTCACATGCAAGCACTTCTGTTCTGATTGGAGAGAACAAAGAAAAACCCTGCAGTATGGATCTTCCTACATTGCTACAATTCAGAGCTTGCTGATGAGGCTCTAAGGATATTTTGCGCGGCTTCAGTTCAAGAAGTCTTACTTCTGACTGTGTTTGACTGTTTCGGGCAACTTTGTTTTCGTCGAGACCACTTGAACGATTGGAATATATAAATATATATATATATAATTATATATATATATATATATATATATATATGTATACACACATATATATGTTTATGTATACATGTTTATATAGAGCAATGCCGAAATGCAGGGCAAGAATCGTCTCAGCATGTTCAGCTTCGGCCTCGTTTTGAAGTCTAAGCTACCGCTGAATTACAAAATAGCTGCTCTTCGGGTTTCGGGTTTTAAGGGTTTTTACGGGTTCCTTAAAGATCTATAAGGGTTTCTATAAAGGGTTTAGGGTTTGGGGAGTTTCCGAAAATGAGGGCTTATTTTGGGGTCCTTATAATAAGGATCCTACCATCTAGAGCACCACATCAGGATCCCATATTTTCGCGAACTCCCACATAACACTTGGCTTGCACACGTTGCCTTGAGAGCCATGAGTCCTCCGCAAAAAAGGATCGTGCCAGATGTGCGGATCCTAAAGTGGAAGCCAGAAAGTTGAACATCAGTAACCCCATGCGACACTTAAAACTAATTGCAAAAAGTATAGTACAGGGCCTAGGGAAACCCAGCACTGATCATCCCTCACCCTCTAAGGCTCACTATATAATCCTCGAAATCTCCAGGTTTGCCAGAGGAGCTTCAGGGCTCTGCAGATTCTCGCCGGCTGCATGGCCCATACAGAAGCAAGGAAAGCAAGCTTGAGGAAGCCTTGCAGCCCGAAGCTGACGATAGAGCTTTCTATCAGGAACCAAAGAGGCCACGTAAGCACAAGTTCTTGGGTGAGGTAAGCTTACTTTAGTGGCTTTTCAAAGAAAGAGACTTCGGGGACATCCTAGGCTTTGTAAACAAGGCACCTCGTTCGTGTTGCAGCCATAAGAATAACAGCTGCGACATTTACGAGGTCTGTCTGTAGAAGAACTCGTCGTCGTGATCGCAGCCAAAGTCGAAACATGCACACGATCAGCCTAGACTAGTCGTCGTTGTAGTAAAAGGTAGCAGGAGAAATAGTAGAAGTGGTGGTAATGGTGGTGGCAATGGAGGTCCGCAGTGGTGGTCGTAGTCGTCGTCGTTGTACTAGTAGCAGTAGCAGTGTTACTGGCAGAACCACAGCACGGGTAGTGCGCGTAGCGGGGGAGGGGAACTTCGGAGTTTAGACGTGTGGAGTTGCGGGATGAAGCGGATTTGCGGGTATGGGTGTTGGGCTTAGAGACCGGTTTCAGCTTTGGATGTTTGATTGTTAATCGTGCCATGACAAATCACCTTGCGATCTTCCGGCAATTCATGAGGAGGGACATCCACAATACTTCTGCAACGGCGTTGCTTGCATTGTCTGGGCACCGGAGCAGAGCATCAGTGGCGTGATATTCAAGATATGTTCAGCACATTGCTTGAGGATTGAAACAAGCAGGGCCATGCCTTTGCTAGACATCCCAAACCTTTCTCTCCTTCGTCCGCTCAGCCGCCTGAGGTGTCAACGGCATCCTGGTGAAAGAAGTCCGACACGCACGGCATCAAGGCAGGATGAGCCCAAATGTGCTGGCAGCCTAAAAGCTTTGCTCAACATGTCGGAAAGCATCGATCTGTTTAGTGTGGAGTCGAGAGTGAGGTCTTGATGCGACGGAGCAGTCCTCATTACAGGGACCATAAGAGCCTCACGTTGTTTCGATGACGAAACAGTCTGTAGACTTCCCCGGAAGTGCCTTAGGACCTAAACCCAAACACTGTACCATGCACCCTAAGTTGGGCACTCAGCAAAGCGCGGTGCTTCCTGAGTACCGTGTAAGAACAAGATAAGTGTACAGTCGAAAGTCTAGGTTGCAGAGACAGATTTGTGAACCATGAAAATCGCATAGACCAGATGCGCATGATGGGATTATGATGAGTGCCTACCAAGAAAGGAAGGTAAGTTTAGTGATCGGTGTTTATGGTTTCGGTTGTCAACATCGTTCTCAGCGTCAACATACACCCCGTTACCATTAATTATCCACATCGTCATCCTCAGCAGTCTGATTTTCACACTGACTCTTCCTAGTATTTGGAGACTTCTGCAGCTTCTAATCACTGTGCCAATCGTGCGCAGCAGCTGGGTCGTCATCGTAACCTCGTTCCCATCGGCACCTGCATGTCTACACCCTCACCTCTCCTAAACTATTCCCTAACCCTGAAACCTCGCACACCATCGAGCCGCATCGGGAAACCAGGCCTGGCAGCAAATCTCGCCATCTACCTTGCCAGACGAAGCTTTCGCCGCTCTGTCAGGCTCCACAACAGAAACACGGAAAGGGAGTAGCTTTGACGTTCTTGTGCAGATTGTGGCTCAGGATCAGGGATGTTAGCAAAGACCACTTCTTACCTAGATTTCCTAGATTCCTGGCTTCGAACTTTTGGGAATCTTCCCTGGTGCCTTCGAGCTGCACAAGATCTCCTAAACGGGGGGTGACAAAGCTGCGAGATGCTTGTAAGGCATATTCTATGCACTTCCTTGGGTGTGCGTCCGTCGTGTTCCTTTTTTCGCAGTTGTGAGACTCCCACATCATGTTGGTTTCCTGCATGCTTTTGCCAAATCGCCACGAATGAGAACAGCAAGCACCCCTACACCCACGAAGTGCAAAGAAAGGAGGCAAGGTGAGACTAGAAATGTCAGAGATAACAAAACTTTGCATAATGAAATGTATATCATCGGCAGCAGATATCCATACACAAGCAGAATAGCGAATGGCAGCAGTACTGCTCCACGGACCGCGACAGCAGCGACTGTGATAACTACTACAGTAGAAGCAGCACTAGTAGTAGTAGTAGTAGTAGTAGTAGTAGTAGTAGTAGTAGTAGTAGTAGTAGTAGTAGTAGTAGCAGGAGTAGGAGTAGTAGTTAGTAGTAGTAGTAGTAGTAGTAGTAGTAGTAGTAGTAGTAGTAGTAGTAGTAGTAGTAGTAGTAGTAGTAGTAGTAGTAGTAGTAGTAGTAGT